ATTTAGACCGCCTGCGAGCTGAAAATTGGGAAACGATAATAACTGGTGAGTCTTGAATTTCTGAAATGCATGTTGGCTCTGAAGCATTAAAGCATGAGACGTGTGACCTGTTGAGAGTGTGTATTGCATGCTTGAAATTTTGCAAATATTCAGAACAAGCTTCAGACTTTTCAGATTTTCCAGATCTTTCAGATTTTTGAATATTCCAAATCTTGTGAAAATTGTATACATCTTACGCTTTGAGACTTAGAAGGCGATAGAATTCTGTCATTGTAATGTCTGAAACATGCAGAATCTGGAATTTGTGAAAGGTTCGGAATGTCCGGTATTTTGGGCAGTGTTGAAATGTTTGCAAAATGCAGCGCTTGTGAAACCGCTGAACTATGTAGAGTTGGAACAGCAACTCTGCGAAACAATTAAGACAACACATGGATCACAGGAGGGCCTGTTGCCTACTACTACTACTACCACCACTACTACTACTACTACTACTACTACTACACCTACTACGACGACGACTCACGACGACTACTACGACTACTACTATTTCTTCTTCTTCATTCGCAGCGAACGAATCCGCTAAGCGTCCCGTCTATGGCAGTACATTCCGCACCGGCGCATAAGCGCACCCTGAGTTTTCAGAGCCCCGATCACTACCCCGACACTAGTGTCGGCAGCTACCTCAAGTCGTTTGGATCGTGAGCACCCGAGAAAAGTCAGAAATAACTGATCATCAAAAGCGAATCATCAGCCAACAGTGTGTTGGCTATGCACCGGACAAGAAGGATGATGTAAGTATCGCGATCGGTGCATCTGGGCAGACGACTGTATGATTTCGCAGCTCTGCCATCGTCGGTTCCCCAGCAATTGCCCCTGGGCAGCGCGCTCGGCTCCAGCAGCAATGAGGTGTAGTGGCCAGTATTGGTTGATTCCCCATGATGTAAAATAATGGAGCACACAGCATAAGTAGCACGAAAGGTTTTGAGGCCGCGGCCAAAAATAGGTAAAGATATCTTCTGAAGGATTCGGATCCCCGTCTACTACTACTACTACTACTACTACTACTACCACTACTACTAGTACGTCTTCTACTACTCTGACTACCAGCATTGCTCTTGTTTTTACCTCTGCGCCTACTCCTGCTATGTGTTTGAAGCGCTTTCGGAAGCCAATTACAATGCAAAGCCCGTGCTGAGGCCTGGAAATGTCAAAGCCAATTCAGTCGACCGTGGTTTTTCATTGCAACGAGGCCTGGATTGTGGGGTTGGGCTCTCGGGGCAGCGGTTGCGTTCTGTGCTTGTGCTTTCGCAAGATCTCGGAGTCAGGGAAACGAGCTGGCAGCGGAGAATCCTATAGAGAATCAGACTCAGGCCGGTGTTTCAGAGATATGTTTCTCTTCCCAAAGACCCAAGCTTGCATTTCGCTATCCCGAAACGCAGAGCTTTAACTCTGCACAAGCCAAACGTCGTTCCGAATCGTTCGAAAGTTAGCTTGAGAATCCGGGTCCGGAGCTGTAGTTTGCCCTGCTTCGCTGGGGTTCCTGAGTCCATGCGAGGAGTTCCAGACCCGGAAGTCAATGTGCCAGAGCGGCGATGCAGTCGACGTCACTCGGTCGAACTTGGACTTTGAAACACATGCTTCAGTCAGATTTCGATACGTATCAGAGAAAATACGACGTTCTTCAAGCCTTCACGTTTCAGCTCCACGTTTTCGGTTTCAACGATGGAAGCGTTTGAAGCATCGGAACTACAGTTGCACTCGAGAACATTTGAAGGATCCGCAATGCCAAGCCAGGAAGTCAGCCATGTCCGCTGCTATCGGCCAGCTTGTCTAACGCAGATCCGCAAAGGAGATCGAGACCGAAAGCACCAACGGACAATCAATTGGTTGAGTCAACGTTGACACATGTCTGCAACGATGTTGTGTAAGCCCGTTTGACGTTGCACATGTAGTTGTCCGCTGTTGGCAATCGTACTCAAATCCAAATCCGCTGTCTTTGTAATCTGATTTTCGCAAGCTTCCACTCCACCAAACCCTCCTCTGCAAAGGTGAAACTCTGGGTGAAGTCCACCACCTTCGAGCCGAGGTCACTCGGCAGATGAAAATCTCATGCTAAGTCTTCTCACACGTAAGCTTCCAAATCCTTGCAGAACAAGTGGCACGCCTCCTTGCCGCGAAGACCGCGCAGTGAAAGTCAAAAGCATTTCATTGCCTGGTCATGTCAAAGTGTTGCCGCTGTTTGTGGTCCATCGCAGGGCTCGGGCAGTCGTGCTGAAGCACTGCACAAGGATTCTATTGTCGACATGAAAATGCTCCTGAGGCATACAACCCCTTTTATCGCTGAACCCTGAACATCCGCCCCACAGCTGCAAAACAACCCTGAATAGACAAGCAACTGTAGTAGCGCATTTTTCTCCCCTTGAGTTCGGATCTGAAGCTTTGCGGTGCAACAGTTGCCTTGCCAACGATCCCCAAGCCAAAACTCACCAGTCGGATGCCTTCGCATGCCCGTGGCAGCTCGTGCCTCAGTTTGGGATCGGCGAAGGGCCTGAGATGGGTGCACACCTTGTTCAGCCCGCTTTCCCTCAGCTCTGAACGATTTTCCCGGCTCGTATCCAGGCTCCTCTTGGGACGAGTTTCAGATGACAATGGCACAGGCAATGCCAATCCGGGCTCGAGTACCGGGCTTTTACCTTTGAAAGAATTGCCAGCGTTCGCTGCGTGATGTTGCCCAACACATGAGGCGGAAATGGATCTACGCCTCCCACAGCTTGAAGTCAGTCAGTCCACGATCCCCAGATAGCCATCCTTGCGCAGGCCATGACGGAGCAATCCACGTCGTTGCGGCTGCTCAGGACCGTCTTTCTGTGGCTTTGAGCAGCTGGAAATCGCACCCTGTTGCAATTGGATCCTGCAAGAGGCCTGTGGAAGCTTTGAAAAGTCTCAAGCCACTGTTGCGAACAACAAACACCCTGTTCTTTTCAGTGAAAGTTCCAAGCGACGCAGTAAACATTCCGAGCGCAATAATTCCACAGGGCACACGTCTTGGACGTCTTTCCAAAGAATGGCAGCCTATTGGTGGAGCCCTTAGCTGTGCTCGTGTGCCAAGTTTCAATCGCAAGAAAGGCTGGAAGTTTGGCAAGCCAAAGATGTCTTCAATTGAAGCAGCATTAAGACACGACTCTGCGAGCCGCCAACAACAAAGCGAAACTTGTCGACTTGCGTAGAAGCAACTCAAATCTCAAAAGCTGTCAAACCTTCGACTGTTCAAAAAACAAAGAACGCTTTTTGCAGCAAGCTTAGGTGCAGTGGATGAGCGAACAGGACTACCCGGGAGAGGGAGTGGATGGATGAAAAAGAGTCGGTGGGGACCATTGGAGGCCTTTCGATTGATTCTAAGCGTTGTGAGCCATGCGCGTTAGACTTCGCAAGGGCTCCTTCCTGTTAAAATTCACGCCAATCCCAAACACCTTCCAGCCGCAACCTGTCATGACTTTGCTTGGAAGCCCGCTTCTGGAAGAGCCCGAAGATCAGGAGCAAGATCCCATCCTCGGAAGCATCCCTGGGATGAAGGTGGACGAAGAGGCATGAAAAGGTGTTTTTGTGGCTTTTCTGAGCGCTCCTCCCCTCTCCCCAATTGCGGAGGCCATTGCGCTGGTTCCGTTGGGGTCTGCCTTCCGGGATGGCGTGCTGTGCAGCAGTGCAGGAGTCCTAGACATCGGCAGCGTTGCGAAGAGATGTTTGTGCGAAGAGCAGTTCGAGCAACGGCCGTGGCGTTCGAGAAGTATCCCGCTCTCGTTTTAGATGCGTGTTGCACTTCCCATTCTTCGAACCACATCCCAGGCACCCAACGCTTTCATCGAGAAGCTGCTCGAACCCATGAGCTGCCAGGTCTCGACGAAATGATTTAGTGGATTGCAGACTTGGTGCGTTCACATCGAAGGGCTTCATTGCTGTCTTGTTACAACAGGCTTTGTAAGCATGGTTTCGAGACCCTTGTTTTTCGCTTGCTCATGTTCATCGCGATTGTGTAGATGCGAGATCGCCTGCCCTGACAGGCGGAGTTTCTCGTGCATGTCTCTGCGCTTTGCGCAGATGGTCGCTCGAAGCCCGGCAGGGCCAGCAAGATCAGACACGGAATTGAGCATGCATTAGTTAAAAGGCTTTGCCTTTGGCGAGGAGCTCAGCCATTGCTCCTAAAAGGGCTGCCCCAGGGAGAAGCTCACCCGAGGGTGAAACTTTTTTCACAGCAGGGAGCACCTCTCCTGATGAAAACGGTGAATACCTCAACCCGCTGTTTTCCAGGTTTTGTCTTGGCATTAGTGGTACGCATCAAGCCACGCCAGGATGCCTTTGGCCCGGAAGTAGTCAGAGTAAGCCGGGCACTGTGGAAGCCAGAGCAAAGCAAGGGAGCAATCTTGCTGAGCGCTCACTCCTTGCGTCGAGGTCTCGCGCCAGAACAGAACCGGCCAGCCCAGGCGCTTCTTCGGCTGGCGTGTTTAGCATGAGCTGATGCTGCTGATGTTTAGCATGCAAAATAAAGCAGATCATGTCAGCAGAAGCAACTCCGTTCCCTTCGAATCCATTGGGATCAGTTTGACTGCAGGCCATTGCCTGCATCGCCAACGAGAGCATGCTTGAAGGAGTCTTTCATGCATTGAAATTATTCACTTGTGCCGTTTGCGACTTGTCTATCTGGACGATTGCGTTGCGAATGCATCCTGCTGAGGACAAATGCAACCCAGATGAGTAGTAGCAAGAAAAGGTTCTGGGAGAATGAGATTATGGCTGAAGATTGTTTCTTCTCTTATAAGTTTATTTTCAATACTTCTGTTATCATGCCGGTTCCGAAAAGTCTAAAGCTACAATCTATGATCTTTTTCTGCCTGAAGGAGAAGAAAAGAAGCAATTCTGCCCATGATAAGTAGGTCGAAAAAATCAGAATTTTATTTAGATACATATTTGGATGCTAAATGGGATTTATATTGGAAGTAGTATGGATAAACCTAGCGAAATTGTATTTTTCTTGGACTTGAAGGTATTAGTCAAAATCTATCTAAGTTGAAAATATTTATTATTTATAAAATATTTTATTGACCGAAATGATTTCCTTGTAAAATATTTAATTTTTAAAATGGTTATATTGAAGTATTGTTAAACCAAAATTAAAAAATATGAAAATAATAAAACAGTTAAAATTGAAGTTTTGAATTTAAAATCTATATTTTTTTTAAGCAATTTTTTTGGTAAGTTAAATAGTTAGTTTTTAAAGAAATAAATATAAATATCGTGGAAAATCTACTCTATATCTACTCTATAAAACGCTACGCTCAAACCAGCCCTATGCGGTGCGTCACGCCTCGGCGCAACTAGCCCTCAAAATTTTCGGGAAATTTCTGGACCCCGGCGAGCAAGCCGATTGGGCCTACCCGGGACCCAAAATTTCCTGAAAATTTAGAAGCTCGGGCTGCAGCTTTAAGAGGGCGGGGCCTCTTCGGCGGTCTCGGGCTAGGCCCAGTCTTCTAAATTTTGGGAAAATTTGGAGATCTGGGTGGCTCGACGCCTCGGTCTCGAAATTTGCGGAAAATTTTGAGTCATCGCTTCTCTAAATCTTCTAAAAGTTTCGACACCCAAAATTTTCCGAAAATTTAGAGAACGAATGCAGCCTGCTGATGTCTTCTGTTCCAAATGCAGAACATGCGTTACAGCCATTTTGTAGTCTTGAAAGAGCAGCGCTTGCACGCGAAAGTTAGTACCTAAAAGTACAGTCTAATTCACGGAGAACCTACTTAGCCCAGCTCATGGCTGCGTGTCGGCTGCAAGCGGGTCCAATGTGACCATTGCTTTCACATCAGGTGAACATGGTAAGTAGTTCGCAACAACTTCATGCTCACGGACATGCTGCTTTCATAGATCAGATCACGCACGGATGCGCACGTTTAGGAATGAGGCGATGCATCTCGAGCTGCGGCCATGGACTTTTTCAAGCTTAGCAGCGAGTCTCGCGAAGCTGTGGTACTTTTCTTGTACTTTTCAGGGCCCCGAAATTGCAACCCAGTTAAGATTTTAGGTTTTTTAGGGTTTAGGCTTTGGAGTTTCTGAGCGCCTTAGTGTTTTCTGGTGGTTATGAGACTTCAATATCCTTAGCTGTGGTTTCTGCAAGCCCCGAAACCAGTAATCCCTAAAGTGCCTTCAAGCCACTCTGCTTGTTGCAGTTGCTACAACAGCGCTCACCCAGATTTGTGTTGTCCAGGACTTGACGGCACGGTGGATTTGCTGAAGCTCTGCAATGGTGCACCGGCTTTTTTTTCGTGGGATTCCCAACGTAGCAGCCACGGATTGAAGCTCCATGGTACCAAGATCACAGCTCGCCTTTCTGCAGCAGTCGCCTCCCCATCACAGCACAGATATTTTCGGTGATTTGGGCTATTTGTCATGGTGATGCGGCCAGGTACTTGACCTACAGCTTCCAGGAAGAGTTGATCCTTTCCGCGGAGATGAGGCCGGTGTTCTTGCAGAGATCATGTCCATCCCTTTTGACGTGTAGGGTTTAGGTTTTAGGGTGTAATATAGAAGCGTAAAAAAGTACCTATGCTATTCCTTCGGGGTCCATGTTATAACTATAGTATAGTGGTCCCCAAAACCTTACTCTAATTATTAAGGCTCTACAATAGATTCAGACCCACATAGAAGGACGCAAGCATCACTCGCAGTCAAACAGGAAAACCTTCTTGCGAGCCTCGCTACATAGCACAGAGGCAGTTGCTTCGGGCGTAGAACCCTGATTTTGTTTTGTATTCCACCTTGATGCGAGGACCTCCGGCGGCTCGGCCGCGTACGGAGTCTCCTGAAAAGAGGAGGACACCGTGACCGCCCAAAGGTGGACGAGTGGGTAGATGCATCAGCCTCTATTGTAGAAGATCTTGCGCACTGCGAAATTTTATATGTCTTGCGGTCTTCAAACATCTTAGCAGGTGCGTAAGGCGTTTTTTGCCCCTGACCTAGACTGTCAAACTCCGGCCCGCTTCGAAGCCTGAAACCGTGCAACACGGAACTATGCCAGACAGCGACTGGGCCGCCCTGGCTATCGCTGAGGTTCGCATGCTGCAGGTCCGGTTTTGCGCAGACAGCTCCGTAACTTGTTTAGCCTGCCGTTCACACCCGCTTCACTGCTTGGTGGTACCCTGGGGCTCGGAACGCCCAGAGCCCTAAATTTCCGGAAAATTTAGAGGCTTGGGTCCTGCGTCACAGAATTGCGCCAGGGCGCCTTCACCGTGTGGGTCTTGAGCCCGGAGGCTGAGCCACCCCAAACTTCAAAACCCTAAAGCTTTATGTCTGCACTTGCATGATCTTGTACGTGTTCGTTGTCTGCTAGATTTGGTTCAAAGAGATACCGTACTTCCTCGACGTTCTTCGCCCGGCCATTTCAGCCGATTTGGTGGAGACTTCTATTTTCCTTTACGCTTCACAATGCTGCGATGGACCAGGACGACGACCGCCCTGCCCACCTTTGGGAAGCTCACTGGACAACCCCCTCTTCAATGGGAGACACTGGAGCCTCGTCTTCGTCGTCGCCTATGCCAAGCCAACTTCCGCCCACGAGCCCCTCGGCACTTACGCACAGCTCATTGAGTACATGTCCTCGGCATGGGATGAGGAGATTTCTGTCGCCCAACAGCAGGAACTTTTGCAGGCGACGAGTGGAAACACGGGGACCTCGCGCTCGGCGTGGAACCAGACGGCTGAAGATGGGGACGATATTGGTCAGGCCGAGCCCGTGACCCACGATGCAGGTGAGGACTCTGGCTGTGCCCCCCCACCCTTTCTTTCAAATGAGAATATCTCCATGGCCCAGCAGATTGCGGACTGGAATGCTGAGTTGTCATCGACGTTGACGACACCATTCTCGGATCCGCCTACCTGCTCCTGCCCTTCTATGCCCTCTTCAACCTTCATCGCTGAGCCGGAGGTGATTGACTGGGTCGCGAGTGTCATTGACCGCCGTCATCTACGAGGCCGCCCTCCACGTTCTCACTGCCCTGTCGACACTCCTGGACCCTATGTTGACCCATGGGAAGGAGTCACAGAATGGAGACGTGGCGACGGGTGGTGGTCGCAACGTACCCGTTGGTCACCGGAAGAGTGGGAGGAATGGCTGGCAACTTCATCCTCTTCGACGACTACGACCTCACCTTCGTCGCCACCGTGGTCATCGACGTCCCTGGAACCTGTCACCTGTACGGGAGTGGATTCCCCTGGATGGAGCACAGTGGAAACATGGACAGTGGAGACGCTTTCGCCGACTTCAATTTCAAGTGTCTCCTTCCCCGTCTACGGCTACGACAACGGATGCTGGACAGTGGGATGATCAACCTCCCAATTTCGGCCTCTTTCCTCATGTGAGCCCTCATCACCTTTGAGGAAACGGCCAGCTGTCTGCGTTTTTTGCCCCTGACCTAGACTGTCAAACTCCGGCCCGCTTCGAAGCCTGAGGCCGTGCAACACGGAACTATGCCAGACAGCGACTGGGTCGCCCTGGCTATCGCTGAGGTTCGCATGCTGCAGGTCCAGTTTTGCGCAGACAGCTCCGTAACTTGTTTAGCCTGCCGTTCACACCCGCTTCACTGCTTTGTGGTACACTGGGGCTCGGAACGCCCAGAGCCCTAAATTTCCGCAAAATTTAGAGGCCTGGGTCCTGCGTCACAGAATTGCGCTAGGGCGCCTTCACCGTGTGAGCTTGAAGCCCTGAGCCTTGAGCCCGGAGTCCTGAGTCCTCAGCAACCCACTCTTGGCGATGCTCCGACGCTTGCGCCCCGTC